AAGAATAGTGCTGTCGAGGAATGCATTTATTTTCATTATGATATTTCAAAATTAAAGCCCTCTCAGTTTTTTTGGGAAACTGGAAGGAATTAAAACATTAAAATATATGCATATTATAGATATTATTGCCTAATTTATTTTGCCAAAAATTTAAATATTTTGAGATATTCTTGTCCGAAAATTATAAGGTTTGTGAACACCTTAAGATTGAAAGAGAATTAACTTTAATTCATGAGATGCAAAGCATCATAATTGTCCTGTCACAAAAACCACCTGCTGCCAAGAGAAAATTTTGATTCAACAGTATTGTATATTTTGTGTTGTAAAAGAGAAAAAATTAATATTTCGTGTTTTAATAGTTATTTTTTTAATTTAATAATCTACGTGAAAAAAATTTTTTTTAATACACACTTTAAAAAATTGTTATATTAATATACTTATTTAATTGTACTTATATTTGTTGTGCCTTTAATACAATAAATACAATTTATACCTATCTCAAATTCATCACTTTCCGTAGCCATATACCTAGGGTCCGATTACAATTAGAAAAACACCGCTACGTCATAACTATTATTTCGAATTCAAAAACGTGCAGATGCCGTCACCACTTCTTAACCAAATTTATATAGGATCACCCCTGAGGTACCCCCTTACTACCAAAAAAAGAATCATATAAATCAGAAAAGGTGGTAAAGTATTATCGCTAAACATACATAAAAAATTAAGATTTTGAGAATTTTCTCATGGGCTCAATTATTAGATTTTGACCAAATTTATATGGAACCACCCCTGAAGTACCCCCTTTCTAACAAAAAAATCATTGAAATCGGACACCGTGTTAAAGAATTATCGCTGGACATACATAAAAAAAATAAAAAAAATATTGCGACGAATTGAGAACCTCCCTCCTCCTTTTATGAAGTCGATTAAAAATAGGAGTAAAAGTTTATATAAACATAGGTCCGAAAACGTTTCGTTTTCGCGATGTAGGGTGTTACAAGTGAAGTCCAGATGAAATATTTTCTAAAATTTCTTTAGTTACCGGTTTTTCAAAGTTAAAAAAAAAATAAAATTTCTAATTCTACAGACCTACTAATTATTGTTTACACTTTCGAATAAGGTAACATGCTTTTCTCTTGAAAATGGCGCGTCCTAGCGAGATGCAACAAATGTAGCTTTATTATACAGAAAATATTGGTTTTCCAAATTTTATAGTCAAAAAATCTGATGTGTCCAACACATGAATTTCCTATCTAGTTATTATAGGCTTTTTCTAGTTATTTTGTACAACTTATTGCAGTACGTCTATATAAATGTTTAGAGGATAAACTAAATATATACATTTTCCACATACATCTATCTACCTAGAAATATTTCTATAGTTATTCATTGAAAACGAAAATACTTATATTTATATTTAAATTTAGCAATTTTTCTACAATTTTTCCATTACGGTCCATTTTAGAAAAATCATGTATAGAGATCGATATCGCAAACAACTTTTAGTTTAGTTTAGAATTTTGCACATTTTGTCAAATTTCTCGAATACGGACCATTTCAGGAAATTTTGAAATAAAGCAAAAATTATAGATAATAATATTAGAAGTAACTTTTATTTGAATAATTTTCTTCTCCAAACATAAATAACAGATATATTCAATAAAATATAGAAACGGCCTCCCATAAAGTACCCCCCCAGATGTTCCGACTTTGTCCAAAATCTAATTATTTCACGTCAGGCCGAAATAAAACTTAAGTTTAAAATTTAGTGTTTTTCTGTGTATCGGTTCATGAGTTATGGTGGATATAGACATACAGATATACACAGCAATTTTACCCTAAGCTCCCCCTAATTTACCCACCTAAGAAGATGATCAATAACTGGGATTTAGTCCAATAAATGAAGCGTAAAAAGGTAAGTATTTGTAACAAATTTTACCTAATTATCTTTAAACGTTTAGAAAATATTTACAAAAGTGTGGTATCAGGACTTCACCTTTAACACCCTGTATCTCGGAAAAGAAACGTTTTCGGACCTATGTTTATATGAACTTTTACTACTATTTTAGGATGTAGATTACGCTGTTAAAATATGAGCGTCTAATTTCGGGACACCCTGTATATCATCTATAACTATCAATAAATAAAAAATATTTGAGTTGTTTGGTTTAAAAATAGTATTCTTCCTACATTCGTATATTAACAAGCCACTAACCCCCAGTAGGCGGCGATAGCCAACGAATTATACCTACCTGAATTGTAATCGGACCCTTCAGCGTACGACACACAACATTGCCAAATTTATGTAGCGAACAAGGTTCCAAATACTTTAAGGGGAGGTCGTGATATTCGTGCGGTGTGACGTCAGAAGGGACTGGATTGCTCTTAAGATAGTCCTCTAATGTATTTCAAAGTTCCGTTTAAATAATGACAGAAGTAAAGAAGAAAATATTTTTAAAGGCCGTTAAATATAAAGGAATTGCCTATTAGGGTGAGATTACAGAACGTCTGCAACTTTGCAGATCTGCAAATATGGCGGCAACTTTGAAAATCTGCAAATATGACTGACCCCCTGGGGGTCGATTCTCGACTCGTAGGAATATTTTCCTATAGGAATTTTTGACATTTTTATATACATCGAAAATTTATGACATTTTCCTACATATAGGAAAGTGTCACAAATTCCTATAGGAAAAGGTTCCTACAAGTCGAGAATCGACCCCCAGACAGCACAAATAGGTCCATTGGACTTCCATTCGATATACAATTTTGGATGTATGGACATCCAAAGATGAGTTTTTTCTGTACTTCTGACGTCCAATGGACGTTCAGCGAAGTATACAAATGGTACACTTTTGACCGTTCATAGGATGTACAATTCTGGATTATATTTGGACGTTCAATATTGGACATTCAAAAAACGTTAATTCCTGATTATATATTCCATTGAGACCACATCCCTACATTTTTTACACAACCCCAACTCACCACACACTATTTTATAATATTAATAATTTATTTATTATTTTCGCAACCCGCTATACACCATTTATTATTATTTTTTTTATAAAAATCACTTGACTAGAGCAGGTATCGAACTCATGACACGTCCATTGTCTTTCTGGGCATTCAAGCGCTAGGCGACCTCGCCCAAACCCAGACAACACACCAAATCCGAGAGATATCCACAGAATATATTTTGTGGATATCCAATATATCCACAGGATATCTGAAATATCCCGTGAATCTAATATGGTTATCCAAATGTCCGTCTTATATCCAGAATATAGAAGATATCCTATGGATATCCAGGAAAATATCTAATGGGTATCTTCCAGACAATACAAGAAATCCCAGAGATATCCACAGAATATATTTTGTCCACAAGCTGGTGAATCAGACAATAACAAAGTGAAATAGAAAATGGTTGTTATAAATACTTCCGAGTGAGATGAAAAATAACCTGTCTTCGCCCATAGAGTCGCATCTCAAGCCTATTGACAAGCATTCTACTCCACTCCAGTTCATTGCACCCATCACCAGCGTTGCCAGAATATATTTTTGTAATGTACCAGATTTGTCTAAAAAATGTACCAGATTGCATAAAAATGTACTAGATTCTATAAAATTGCCAGATTTTTCTTATTGTGAAGTGTGGTCATTAAAGATTGGAAAAAGGTTTATAGAGAACACGAACATAACAATTTTAAACAATATTTTATCTCTCGTCAAATTTCTGACACTATTTTATATCTCGAACAATTTTTGAAAAAGATTTTAATAACTTATGATACTATTTTATCTCTCGAGCAATTTTTATTAACATTTTTTATCTTTCTAGCAATTTTTAAACAATGTTTTATCTCTAGAGAAATGTTTAATAGTATTTTCTAATTCTCGAGTAATTTATGAACAAGATTTTAACAATTTATAATACTATTTTATCTCTCGAATAATTTTTAAACCTTTTTTATCCCTTGAGCTATTTTTAAGCAATATTTTATCTTTCGATAAATATTTTACAATGTTTTATATCTCGAGTAATTTATAGCAGCTTTTTTTATCTCTCGAGCAATTTCCAATAGTATTTTATCGTTCGAGAATTTTTAAACAATGTTTTATCTCTCGAGAAATTTCTAACAGTATCTCTCGAGTCAATTTTAAACACGATTTTAACAATTTATAATACTATCTAATCTCTCGAACAATTTATAAATATTTTATATCTCTCATTAAATTTCTAACACTATTTTTATCCCTAGAGCAATTTTTGAACAATATTTTACCCCTCAAGCAATTTCTAATACTATATTATTCTTCGGCCAATTTTTAACACCCTTTTCTACCTCTCAAGATTTTTTCAAACAATATTTGATCTCTCGTGCAATTTTTGAACAATGTTTTATCTCTCGAGAAATGTCTACTATTTTATCTCTGAAGCAATTTTTAACAACAATTTTAATCTCTGGCATTTTTTGAACAATATATTTTACACTTCAAATGGAACATACGCTGAAAAAAGTACTAGATTTTGCTTCGAGTGTATTAGAGTACCAGATTCTCAAAGAATGTACTAGATCTAGTTCAATTGTACTAGACTGGCAACACTGCCCATCACCCTGTTACAGTGTGCTGTGGACGTTATAAGTAAAAGTACGAGTAAAAGAATAGTCTAGAAATTTCTGGAAATGCCATTCGGTGTCAAGAAACATCTGGACGGTTCGAGAAGGTTCTAGAAGCTTCAAGCTAGCTATTATATAAGTCGATGTTCCTGACGTCAGGGGGATCAGTTTTATGATAGACGTTTACGTCATGTTATCTGTTATACAGTTGAATTGTAAAAGTTGAGTTAAAATAAATTGAGCTACCAAAAACCAGCCTAACAATATGAACTGTGATTGGTAGATTTAATTATTTGCAGTGTTCGTAGAAGGTAGAATGGATATGAAATATATTCGTTCAGTTGAACGTAATGGCAATACTTTTTCGTTTTGTAGTATGTGCGTTGATAAGCTAATATCAATATCCATGTGGATGTAGAAAAAAAGTACCTCTTGAACATCAGTTTCGGTTCATTTTTCATTTGCGTGTGTGATAACGGTATAACAGACAAGGTAGATCACGAGAAACAAAAAAGAAGAAGAACAATAAAGAGAGGAAGAGCAACTGGAAATGTCAATGAAAATGTCACATAATCATGTGGTAATCAGGTGATTGTCAAATATTTTTGTTTTTTTTTTTTTTAATTTAAAGTTAAGACATTTCAAATTTATTTATAATACAATATTTGTGAATCATCATTTAGTCGAATATTTTACCTCATGAAAATTATTGTAATTTTTAGTATTCCTATAATAGCTATTTAAAATCGCCTACCAAACTCTTACATTCCTTATCTAATTTTATCAGTTTTTTATAGAACTAGAAGTATAAAGTAGTAACTCGTACCTGCAGTACGTTACAATTAACCTACAGATTAAGATCAACAATAATTACTGTTTAAAATGTCTAACGAAGTTGGAAAGTTACCCTCTACAGTGCCTTTACCAATACAGGAAAATGATCTGACAGATATTGTTTCTAAATCTAAAGATTGGGCTCTAATGCATGGAATTTCAATGAGATCTAAGACAAATTTTACCGAAGATGGAGTGCAGATATCACCTTTTATTTTAGTTCCAACAGCAATTCCTAGACAAGAGTTTGTCAAAGTTGTAGAACTTCAAACTACTCTGCAAGAATTGTTACATAAAATTGCTAATAATAAGGAGTTTATTAATGATTGTTACAAAGATATAGTTGAAGCTGATGACTTTAGTGCTAGACTGTATAAAATGTATGAGCAAGTTGAGGAAGAAGGGACAGTGCAAGTAAGTTTTCATTAAAAAATTATTTATTCTTTATAATATAATAAATAATACCAGCAATATTTATTAAGAAAAGAACCTAGTTATGCTTCATAATGCCGTAAATATTAAAGGGTTTATACCAAGAAATGACTTATGTGTAACTGATAGGGATGCACAGGATCTATCGATGTTAAAAAAACATCAATTTTTCTGTTTTGATGTTCCATGTTTTTTTATCTAATGATCAGTATCAAATATTACCAAAATAAAATTGACCTATTTCAATGGATAATAAATTAATTATGGTTACTCGGTTACTTATAAACTGAACATAATAAAAAAATCTTGCACAATCACCCAAATTCAGTATTTTAATGTGTAGGTATATTTTTTAAATGGATTATGTTCTTTTAAATCCAATTATTACCCAGTAACCTATGAAACAGAAGAAAAAGTATCCATCTGTTTTTACCTAAGTAATTGTAAATGTTTTGAAAATCTGTTTGACTTATTTTTTAAGTTTAAGTAGCGCTTTTTTGTTTATGGTTATTTTGTTTCACATTAGTTATGTTAGTATTTTTCAGAATGTATTGTATTGGCTTTAATAAAAGTAAATAAAAATAAGATACTCTCTATTAACTTATTTGTTTATTAAAACATGATGTTTACAAAAAAACAATATTTTCTTTCTGATTTTTTACATTATTGACAGTCTGTATTCGATGTCATCATCGATGTTTTAGAGAATTTGCACATCCCTAGCAACTGTCAGTTATTTTTAAATAAATAAATACAACTTTCATAGATCTGTTTGACCTTCAGTCTTTTCAATAGTGTGTCCAATTACTGTAGTGTTTTTTCAGTAGCTAAATTGCTTCTCCTAGAAGGTAACTGTACCAATAATTGACACTATTAGACACTGATATGTATTAAATAATAATTAATTTGATCATTAATAATTTTTTCAAGCATATAATACATTTTTTCCTTGTATTTTAAAGTTTGTTGAGTTAATTGGTGAGGCAGATTTAGTTCTAATAATTTTATTTTACCTGAAATTCCTTTGAATCGCCAGTCATTGATACAAACTAAAGGAAACATTTTTTTATTATACCTACTTAGAATTTTAATACACTAAGGATAATAAACAGTGAATTCACAGCTGAGTATGTGTATAATTTTTTGTAGGTGCCATAACTGTAACAAAAAACATTCCAATTATTGACTCTTCTTGTACCAATGACTGATACCCTGTCAACGACAAAAAAATTCTTTTAGATTTCATATTTAAAAGGTTTATTGCACCTAACATTCGTCGTGTAAGTTAAATATTCTAATAATACCGAAGTTTCAGATAAATTTCTCATATTGAGTGTATTTTTCTTATTTTTGAAGAACAATTGAATGAATGTCAATTACTGGAACACTATCAAATACTAATGATATTTTCATGTGTCTTTTTCTTTGTGCTTTGATTTCCCCATCTACCCTCCCATCAATCATATTAGTTATAACAATATAATCGCTAACATATAGAGAAAAAAGCTTTATTAGGGAATTAACTAGAACCATCAAGTCTTATATTGTTTTTTACCTGTAACCTCTCAATATAGATGGTTACATTCTTTATTTTGTACAATTCCTTTTTCTAAGTACTTACTTATTGGTGTTTATTGATAATCACATTATTTTTTAATAAGAAATATAAATGATAAAATATCTTAAAAAATGTTCCAAATTCAAAAATAACTTGCATGGATGATTTCATTTTGATCTTGATAATTAGGATAGTAAACGTTTTAAGGACATATTTGAATTGTATCTACTTTCACTGACATTGGTATTAAATCCACTTTCATTTGGAATTAAATTTTATCATCATGGCTTATTGGCTTATACAACGGATACAAAAACGCATTATTTAAAAGCACCAGTCACTGTCAAATATGTTATTTAATTTTTTTTATCTTGTCGTGTGGCATACATGATAAGATAATAAGTACCTAAGTGACATGTAAAATTGCAGAACATTAAAGTAGGTAGGTGCTTGAAAAATTACACATTTCATTTTAATCATAAATCATTTCATATCCTAAAAATAATTTTGCAGAGTCATTCAAATGAAAGTTAGAAAGGTTAAGTTTTTAATTATACTTATAAGATGGAAAAAATTACTATTTGACAAATGGAAGTTAACAAAGTTTCTTACAAGATTATTTTTATTCATTTTTGTCCAAATCCTAATGGTTGTTAAGGTATCCCTAGCAAAAACCACAAATTGAAATTAACTATACATTATGATTTTTTTCTACGATTCTTGTATTATTTTTTCGAGGTATATAATTTATGTTTAAATGATTTATATATGATCCATCTGCAGTTCATTTTTATTAGTTGGTCTGTTTACATAGACGCGATACTTTAGAGAGCCCCACAAAAAATCAACTGGAGTCTTGTCGGGAGATCTTGCCGGCCATTTAATTGCACCTCTTCGGCCAACATCTCTGTGGGAAAACAGAATTTAAATATGTTTAACGATTCTGTGATAGTGTACAGGTGCGCCATCCTGTTGAAAATAGACATTTACATTTGGAAATAAATTGTTTATTTCATGTATAATTTTCCTCAACAAACCAGCACATGCATTAATTTTTTTTTGCATATTGTGTATGAGTCTCATCCATATTATCCGTATTAGAATCTGGCCACTAGTGGCAATAATGTCTGTTAACAGTACCGTTTAAGCAGAATGTAGCTTCATCACTGAATACAATAGAATCTAAGAGATTTTTTTGCCTAAGAATTGTCTAAACCGTTTCACGCATCTCTAACCTCCTATCAAAATAATCTTCTGCTAATTATTGGTGGTTTTGAATTTTATAAGGGTGTTACTTATTATTGTGCAAAATGTTTTGTACAGTCTTTCATCTAATACCATGATTTCTTGACAGTTTATATGTAGATGTTTTAAAATATTCTTGAACATCTAGTAGTTGGCTTCATTAATTGCAGTTTTTGGTAGGCCAGATCTTGGGCGATACTTTACGTTACCGGTTTCATTAAATTTATTTATTATTCTCGAAAACGTAGATCTACTTATAAAAGTTTTTTAAGGATTAAATCGTTGAACAGATGACTTACTTTCTTCATATGTACGTTTTCTATCACCATATCCAATCAACATTAGTACATGGATTCGTGCTCTTTCTGATAAGTTTGCCATTATTCTTAGTTTACTTATAAACACTGTAGATATCAATGATTCTGCACAGTAGATAATTTGGCGGTCCCAATAATCTACTGCACAGAATCCAGGTGTCAGTGACTGGTTTCTGATCGTTGTTGGAACAGACCTTAAGCTGCATAAAGTGTAGGACAGACAGAGTGTCTATTAACGTAGAAGAACCCGTAACTTGTAATTAGTACAAAAGTGGCAGAACAGAGAAGACAGTACCGAATTAAAAAATCAGACATAGAACATCTGGACACTAAAATTACAATGAATTAAAAACTATTCCTCTCCAAACAGCGCAATAAAGCTAGACTGATCCACCTACAGAGATGTAAACTCCATAAAAATGGCATGGAATCGCTTCAATCATCAGATTCTAAGAACATCTATTGAATAAAACAATTAATTCAGTCGTAATTGGGGAAGACTTACAACTAAAACTCTCTCCAGCAACATTTTACTAATCAAACCTGGCCAAGGAAAAGTTAAAACCAATGTTTACTCCATCCAGCAGATGCAGCAGCTAGGACTTATATCTTTATAATTATCTTCTAATGCTTTTTACTTTCCTGTCTGTATACAGAAAAGCAAATTATAGGAATCATGATGGAAAAATTTAAGAAAAACTGTCAAAGTTTAATTTTTTCGTATTTTCGTTGGCAATTGCTGCGTTTGAATATCCACATCGGATGCCAGATATTGTGAATTTTTTATCACTTGATAGAGGATTAGATTTAAATGTACATGTAATAAACAAACGCTCTAGATGTAGTAAAAATTACAATTAAATTGATAAACTTGTAACTGAACTAGCATCACAGAACACCTACTTTCTGGCATGGAACGAACATCTCATTCACATTTCATTTCAAATCGAGATGTAAAAAATGTAATCTGGACCACATGCTTTGATTATTATACGGTGCAAGAGAGAGGTCCGACACGCCCAACATAGAGCGCGGCCATTTTGAACCCTGTGACACAGTTTACAGCTAAAGAATCAGATCGCTCACTCTGCGTCGGCACTTTTGATCTCAATGTTTCAGTTTATACACTGTGCAACTCGGATAATACAATATGTGACAACCGCCTATAATAAAACAGCAGTCTTCTGCGTATCCTGAATTTGTATCCCTGGAGTGGATGTTATTTTGGAACTTTCAACTGGTCCGAGTGAGCTAATTGATTCTTTAGCAATAAACTGTGACTCCAAAAATAATATTCACTGACACTGACAGCAGCAAGCAAAATATTAAAAATATTGCGCCAAGATGTAGGCAACACGTAATAATTCATCAAAATGGCGGAGTTTTCTATCTCCTTTTAAAAGGCACTCAGAAAGCTGCGCTCCGTATAGTAAGAGAAAATCAAAGTATGCGAATCGATACCTACATCTCGGATAAACAAATGTAGATGTAGTAGATGTGTCTGATGTGAATAAACAAACACTTGAGATGTAAAAATGCAACGGATGTGGATATTTAAACGTAGCAAATGAATGTATATAAAAAATGTTTCGATGGAAAATGTATGTATTTAGTTCATCATCTTAAACATTTACACATACAATAATAGGTTGTACAAACTAACCGGAAAAAGCCTATAATAACTTGGCAGGAAAGTCATGTGTTGGACACATCAGATTTTTTATTATAATATCTGATTGCATTATAAAGAGACACAAACTAATAATTATCAATTTTTGGAAGATCATTCTTGTTAGTTTTTCTACTAAATGTATGTTTATTTTAAATAAATGAATTTCCATTAATGGTAGATATACAATCACCTTCTTCCCAGGTATTTAATAAGATAATAAACCGTATACAAAATGATGTAACAAGAAAGCGCAATGTCGGGGTTTCTTTTAAAATTTCAAAATTGACCCCAACTTTTCAAACTGTTATAACTTCAGACCAATAAGGGAGGTTACAATAGTGAATAAAAAATTATTGTCAAAAGAAATTTGCTATTATACAACTTCTTTATTTTAGGGTTTGTTTTTCACAAATTTTCGATTTTCGCCGGGGTTATCTTAAAAACCATCAGAAATAGGAAAAAATAATCTTGTAGGAAATTTTGTTAATTTTCATTTGTCAAACAGTAATTTTTCCCAACAAGTCATCGTTTTCAAGATATAAAGGAAAACCTAAAAAAATGGGACTTCCCCCTCCTTGTTTTTGCCATGTAGCTAGGTAGAAGGACTTTTATTATTTATACTCCAAATATATCCCTGAAGAAAAAATTCTCTCTCTTACATTTCCTCTACAATCCCTTCATAGAAGGGACTAAATGTATTGAATTGAGGATTTTTTTTTAATTGATCATGTTGCTATTTTATAGTTATAGATTTAACTTTATAATTTTTTTTTACAAATGCATTTTTTTTAGAAAATCGCAATGGTGCATCTTCGTTCAGATTACTTGATGCAGAGTTCATCAAACAATAACTTAAAACAAGTCGAATTTAATACAATATCTGCAAGTTTTGCAAGTTTATCATCATTTATAACGGATTTTAATAAGTATGTGTATCTAGCACTCATAAATAGTAAATGCTAAATAAAGTTTTTCATTTTCAGGTATGTACTTCAAGAATTAGGATACCCCGAAAAATTAAAAAACGTGAGTATCAAAATAATGCAGTTGATTTTTCTAAACCAAGTTATTTTATGTCACTATTCCACGAAATTCATTTATTATAATTCTATTTTGTCTGGTCCAGATTAAATAAAATAATTCATAGACATTGAAGATGATAATAATCTACTTTAAAGAGTGATAATATATAAAAATTAACATATAATCATTAATTGCACTATAAAGTTGAATACAAATTTTTAATGTAAAAATCAAATTAAGTAAAGATTTATTAATTGATAAAGTAAAAACATATATTAAGTACTAGTTTACTTTATTTGGTTGTTCAATATTTTTAACTCATTTTAAAAAGTAATTCCTATCTTAAAATCATGATTTGATGTTTGTCACAATGACCTCAAACATAAAAATACACTTAATAATTATCATCAGAAAGATATGTTAAGATAGCATATCAAACTAAGTACCCTGTTACATAAGGTTTATTTTCGTTTATCTACACCAACGTTCATTCAATTACTGTTAATATCAAAAAATAATATCGTCATCTGTTTTCAAAAACGACATTGTCACTATTTCTGAATTTGAGCAAACTTCATTTCTGTTTTTTAAGGCTACCACAAAACATAAAAATCCTTTACTATTATTTAAAAATAGTAATTTATCTATTACTTATTTTTTTTTCAAAGCCGATGGATGCGTTGGCTCATTGGTGAACTCACCGCTGAAAAAAAAAACGATTGACACATACAATCGCCTTAGGAACGGTTTGCTGCAAACGCTGGATACAGCGCTTAATAAAAGAACACGTCTCAACCGGTATATTTTTGCGGTTACCATTGAGTCGAATGTCAATCTGTCACAAAATTGACGCAATTGTTCCCGTGGTCCAAAAGTAACCAAGAAATTAACTTTTTTTCAGGAACCGCTGTCAAAAAATCCTGGTTACTTATAGTTAGTAGTCTGTTAATAACGGACCATACCCTAAGTGTATCGCCAATTACTTAGGCAACATTGTCAAATGTCAAATAACGAACGCAAAACTTTAAAAACCACGACTACACAATTTATATTTACTCAAAAATATTCCATAAAACTTATTTCACATAATAAATACTGAAGAAAAATTCTCGCCATATTTTATATAAAACGCAAAATGCTATATTTTTATTCTATTAAATAAATAATTAAGAAATCCAAAACATTTTATATATTTTAAATAAAACAATCTTCATCTGTGATCTGCGCAGACTCAAACGGCTAATCTGAGAAAAATTTACAAACCATTCTGACGGTTTGAACCCGATCTGAAATTCGTCAAAATATTTGTGGGACCACTGGGTAGTTGGTTGGAACGTCCAAAGTATTACTGCGCATGAGTCTGGCGGTTATGTACAGATTTAGGGTATGGTCCGTTATTAACCGATTTCTAACCCTAGTAACCAGGATTTTTGACAGCGCTTCCTGAAAAAAACTAATTTCTTGGTTACTTTTGGACCACGGCTAAGATTTACGTCACTTTTGTGACAAATTGACATTCGACTTAATAGCAGTGGCGGCTTGTGGGCAGTAGGGCACACACTGGAAAGGAATCCCGGGATTCGTTTTTCCCTTAGGAAAACAAGTTCTCCGCTTAATGAAAATTAAATATATTTCAAAACAATCAGTTGGGGCAATAACGATTTCTGAATGTGACTACAGGGAGCTAAATGTGACCACTCAAAATGCATTTAACGATGTGGCTATTTAATCAAAAAATCATTACATATCCACTCTTGCGAAATTTCTCAGAAGAATGCAATTTACTTAACAATTCTAACTTGTTAACGCATTTTAAAGCATACGACTCTAAAGAAAAGGTGTTTGACAATTTAAAATCTCCCAGCGAAAAATTTCTCTTTTATATTTTCAAATTAGAAAAAATATTTATATCTCTATTTGATAGTTTGTCAACTAAGCCTGGAATTTTCAACGCATACCTTTTTGAGATGAGCAAAATAGAATTTGGTCATCCTTGCCAACAATTTGCGAAAATGTACACCATTAAATTATTTATAAGTCTCAGAATTTTTTATACTCTTAAATATGCGAACAGAGATTTGAAATCCTCGAAAAAGTCAGACAAAACCAAAAGAAAAATTAAAATTTTGTCCCATTTATAAATATTATTGATTTTTTTTTTCATCATATTTTTGACTGCTTTATAAAAAAAAAGTTATTTTTCTTTGTAGTTTTATTTCTTAACTATTCCAATGGTCCAACTAACGTTTTTTCGTAATCACAATAAATAAATTATTATCATGGTCCAACAAACTCGCACCTTAAGCCGAAACCGGCATCGCCTTTGTAAAGCCGGGATCCAACGGCGCGTGGAGCGGCACTCCTCGGTGCGCAATACTACATCGAGCCCACAGTTCCGCTATGAGACGTGGAAGAGCCAATAACAGCGCGCGAACGCCAAATTATAGGCGGGGCATAAAAGCGCGCTCGTTTTGAAAGTAACTGGGGAGGTGGCGAGGAAAACGATGAAAGTGTGCCTATGCTGAAACTGAGAAAATCGTTTTTTTTTTACTTCCGAGCGTTGTCTCATAGGAAGTGCAAATAATACACAAAATTTATTATAAATATTAATTACACAATTACTAATATTTGACATAACTAAATTAGATGAATAATTACTACACTTTTAAAGGCATTTTTCTAAAAATAAAAATCAGATTTTAAAAGCGTTTGATTACGTTTAATAAGCTCTCAACGAACAAATTCACCTAAAAATTACCAACAAATGATCATCTTGACAATTCAAACAATTAAAAACAAAAATTCGATGCGGTTATGACAGGAAATTTCCAACAAAACTGCCGGTATTTCTACAAGGTGTAAAGGAAAATACTTTTGTTTTAGAATTTTACTATCATTTATTTTACGAAAAATATTGTATGTAACAGTGTGAAAAGAGTGCTTTTCGCACTAGTTGCATAAATAACTGTTAGGTGTATTATAGAGATCTTAATCGTTTTGCAGCAACTGTTTACCAGGCATATATTATATACAAAAATCTTTAGATGGCACCATCCACCCCGAATTTGATCGTTTTTCCCGCCAACTCCTCAGTTACGATAATTACTTTTTATGCTACAGCTACATTACCTAAACGGTTTTTAAATTTAAATATTTCATTAGGAATTTTAAAAATAAGCAGTTTAATTTAAAAAAATAGTTTATTTAACTAATAACATTTTTTATTTAGTAGGCATTACGCATCTACTTGTATCATATGTATTATTACGTAATCGTTTTAGTTGTCTTGATGATTTTTTCTTAATTTTTCTTCTAGCTACAGCAGTACTTTGTATAGGAATTTTTCGTCCTCTTCGATTTTGGCTACTTCCTAAAAATGATTATAATTCTAGTCAATGAAATAATTTAACAAAAGCTTTAGAAAATAAAGTTGTGCACATCCTTAAAGAAATCTATACAAATTTAATTTCAATTATTTGTGTTGCCAATTTATAAATTGAATTGGGACACAAAAAATAATTAATTAGTGGTATATTTTACAAATCTAAATAGGAAGGTTTACATTATAGTATACCTAGTTCATTAAATTGAACTAATACAATTTCAACAATATCTGCTGTCAAGTTAAATTATTTCTAAACATACAAACGATAAATAAAAAAATACATATTATAACCACCAAATAAAATACCAAAACCGAACCAAACCCATTTAATTAAGTTTATAACATACCATAAACATTTCTAGAATGTTTGTTATTGTTTCTCTTTTTTCAGCATTGTACAGTGTAAGATTATTTTCTAAAAACATTTTCGCCTCTGTATCAAATTTCATAGGTCCATAATTTTCTTTAAACTCTTTCATATATAGATCATAACAGTATTTATAGGTTGGACATATATTACGGTCTGCCAAAGCTGTCACATAATCATCCCTGGTAAGCTGAATGTTACATTTAATCATCTCCAAAGCTGTTCCTGCTGTATGGCCATTCTTATAAAGACTTAGTAACTCTTCTCTTACATTCTTAGAAACTTTACGAAACCGTAAAGAATCTGCAGTATTGGTCATATGGTTGTGTGTTAAAATAAGTTTAACCTCACAAGGCGCCTCTTGTAAGGGTTGGAAATTTTCTTTCTTGCCCCTATACTTTTTTCTAATAACATGTATCTTTACAGTTATTTTCGAAGGACAATTGGTGTTTCTAGTTTTGTTTTTTAAGGACGGGTTGTAGGTTTTAGTGCACCGTGTAGAATGATGACACCTAAAATTAAATTTTCCAGGTAACATAATAATAAACTGTAATAAACCTACATGTAACAAATAATATAACCTACATTATAAATAAGAGCATAAACAAATGTGATATTTATTACATTAATTTACTACCTAATTTTTGTAACCTGTAAAATCTGTGTTTTCCAAAGGTTTTATTAATAATAAAACCTTTATTACCTTAGTCTTCTTTTCAGTTTCAATTTAGCTCCATTCTCAACGTCTGTACAGGCGATAACGTATGATGAACTTGTTGAATTTTCAAACTCCATCAACCACTTTCCAAACTCCTCTTCATTGGTGCAATTGATGAAAAAATGCGTTTCTACATTCGGGAACTTATCTTCACCCTCTACTATTTTTTTACCAATAATTGTTGTTCCCCAACCAGGTGGAAAAACTGACTGAAAAATAAAGATTTAATTACACAAAAATCCTAGCAGTTTGTTTGTACTTTATGTTGTACTTACATTAAATTCATCATTCAAAGAGGGTAGTGGCGCGATATCCATTATTTCAGTAAACAACTATGGTAAAAGCAAACATCAAAACCACGATTGTACATGGATTGTATGTACACACACTATAACTGTAAATCATGGAGGAAGGATTATTACTGTAAATATTTGGCCGTGAGCAAAACCAAAACAAAAACTGGCACAAACTAACAAACAAAAATGTTAGGTTAAAAAATCTAACTGCTACGTGTTAATTGTCAATCGATCCCGCCCACAGTCGTGACGTATCCCGTTCTAATTGGTTCTTTTTAGTCCCATAACCAAAGTGAGTGCTGGATGTATCATTGCCCTCGGTGCGTGGAATGGCAATCCTGGGTTGTGAGTTGAGTCTCAACGGTCGGACCGTTCCCACGGCGCATGAGGATCGCGCAGATGTGGACACGCGCCTATTGCAGTCTGTTTTACGAAGGCAGTGTTGGCGATAAAAAATTCATAATTTTGATTAATTGCATGAAAAGATGAACTGTAAGCGGACGCGTATCGTTGCTGCCTCAGCCTTTTATTTTATGTTAGGGGTTTACAGGATGGCAAGGGAACAAAAAATAAAACGAAAACAAAGAAGATGGTGGAGAGTGTCCTTGTATAGAAATTGAGATAGGTAAGTACATTATAGAATATTTTGCAACAAGTGTTTAAAACTGATGTTCACAAGTGTAATATACTATAATTTTTCTACGACTGCAATTTGGTTCAGAAACCAAAAAAATGGGAGTCTTATTTTACACACATTTGCAAAAGGCTTGGAATAATAGACATAGTCTGACAGTCATAAAAAATAAACTTTGGAATAATTTGTAATTTTAATGTTTTTGCTGCAAATAATATAGTTTTCTTTTAATCATTTGTAGGTACAGTGCCACAGACATGTTAGAAAATTTTCGCCAAGAACCCTCAGGCTATTTTAAAAACTTTTGTCGAAAAGTTTCCTAAAGATTCCCATTAATGTATCTTTTTTTTTTCAAATCTGCGATTGAACATTATACGCTCATTTGCTCTTCAATTCGCCTCCAGGCATCATGAACTAAGTTCCTGTTTTTATGGTTTGGATCCCGTGGGTTCCAAATAATTGGCTCGGCTTCATAAAATGATAAAAATTCTAACACCACTTCGTTAGACCACTCCATGGTGAAAGTTACCACGGCACTGGTAGTACCACGCTCCTAGCCGCGCCGTTGGAGCTGTAAGCACGTGTGGCGCGCCAACGTCCGCGCCCCTTTGAACCGTGTTGATTTACCGACAGACGACGGAACTCATCGCGCCGACCGAAGATTGGCAAGCTTGCCCTATCCAACGGAGCGGGAACTGGCAAGTTTGGCGCGTGGAGTGCCGCTCCACGCGCCGTTGGATCCCGGCTGTAAGAGAGCCGGTAACAGTGTTGCCAGAATATATTTTTATAAGGTACCAGATTTATCTAAAAAATGTACCAGATTTCATAAAAATGTACTAGATTCTATAAAATTACCAATTTTTCTAATTATGAAGTTTGGTCATTAAAGAGCAAAAAAAGGTTTATAGAGAACACGAACACAACAATTTTAAACAATATTTTATCTCTCGACAAATTTCTGACACTATTTTATCTCTCGAACAGTTTTTAATTTTTTTTATCTCTTGAGCTATTTTGAAACAATATCTCTCGATAAATTTCTAATAGTATTCTATCTCTCGAGCAATTTTTAACAACTTTTTTATCCCTCGAGCAATGTTTGTACAAAATTTTTAACACTATTTAATCACTCGAGCAATTTTCAAGTTTTTTATCTTTCAAGCTATTTTTGAACAATATTTGAATTCTCGTGCAATTTTTGAGCAAAATTTTAACAATTTCTAACACTATTTCATCTCCCGAGCAATTTTTAAAAACGATATTAATACCTTTTGATATTTTATCTCTCGAACAGTTTTTAAAAAACCTTTTTTTATCTCTTGAGCTATTTTTAAAAAATATTTTATCTCTCGATAAATTTCCAACAGTATTCTAGCTCTCGAGCAATTTTTAAGAACTTTTTTTTTATCCCTCGAGCAATGTTTGTACAATTTTTAACACTATTTAATCACTCGAGCAATTTTTAACAGCCTTTTTTTACCTTTCAAGCTATTTTTAAACAATATTTGATCTCTCGTTCAATTTTTGAGCAAAATTTTAACAATTTCTAACACTATTTCATCTCTCGAGCAATTTTTAAAAACGATTTTAATACCTTTTGGTAATATTTTATCTCTCGAACAGTTTTTAGAAAAACCTTTTTTTATTTCTTGAACTATTTTTAAAAAATATTTTATCTCTCGATAAATTTCCAACAGTATTCTATCTCTCGAGCAATTTTTAACAACTTTTTTTATCCCTCGAGCAATGTTTGTACAATTTTTAACACTATTTAATCACTCGAGCAATTTTTAAAAGCCTTTTTTTTTACCTTTCAAGCTATTTTGGAACAATATTTGATGTCTTGTGAAATTTTTGAGCAAAATTTTAACAATTTCTAACATTTTTTTATCTCTGGAGCAATTTTTGAAAAAGATTAACACCTTCTGATGATATTTTATCTCTCGAACAGTTTTTAAACAATGTTTTATCTCTCGAGAAATGTTTAACAGTATTTTTTAATTCTCGAGTAATTTTTTAATAAGATTTTAATTACTTGATACTATTTTATCTCTCGAACACTTTTTAAACCTTTTTTTTATCTCTTGAGCTATATTTAAATAATATTTTATCTTTCGATAAATTTATAACATTATTCTATTCGATCAATTTTTAACAACTTTTTTATCTCTTTAGCAAACTGTACAATATTTTAACTCTCGACAAATTTATAAAAATATTTTAACTCTCGATAAGTTTTTAACAATGTTTTATATATCGAGCAATGTTTGTACAATATTTTATCTCTTACGCATTTTCTAATAGTATTTTATCGTTCGAGGAATTTTTAAGCAATGTTTTATCTCTCGAGAAATTTCTAATAGTAGGTATCTCTTGAGTCAATTTTGAACAATATTTTATTTCTCAACAAATTTTTCAATAGTATTTTATCACTCGACCAATTTTTGAACAAGGGTTTAACATTTTGTAATACTATTTTGCCTCGAGCAATTTTTGAACACGATTTTAACAATTTATAATACTATTTAATCTCTCAAAAAATTATTAAATATTTTTATCTCTCATTAAATTTCTAACAGTATATTTAGCCCTAGAGCAATTTTTGAACAATATTTTACCCCTCAAGCAATTTCTAATACTATTTTATACTTCGGCCAATTTTTAACACCCTTTTTTACCTCTCGAGCCATTTTTGAACAATATTTGATCTCTCGTGCCATTTTTAAACAATGTTTTATCTCTCGAGAAGTGTCTACTATTTTATCTCTGAAGTAATTTTTAAGAACTATTTTAATTTCTCTTGCAATTTTTGACCAATATATTTTACACTTCAAATGGAAACATACGCTGAAAAAAGTACTAGATTTTGTTTCGAGTGTACTAGAGTACCAGATTCTCAGAGAATGTACTAGATCTAGTACAATTGTACTAGACTGGCAACATTGGCCGGTAAAGATGCCGCTGCGTACATTCATATCTGGTCTAGGTTCTGTGCCATGGGTACAGCATGTCACGATAAGGACAGCGCCCCGCTTGTGTCGTATAATCCATCGCATGTGTTCATCTCTTGCTAAGCGATATTGTCGTTGTCCTTGTTTTTCGCATCATAATGAGAGAGAAAACAACAGAGGCACACATTTACTGTGCCCTGTGCTCATCTTCAACTTAATTTCGGAATTCTCGGAACGTCGCTCAACGCTCGGTTGTCCAGTGTCGTGCCAACGCGGTTTGCGCTGAATATTAAATAAAATAATAATAGGCATTGAGTTATTTTTTTTTTTGGTTTATTATACTAGGGCATGTGCCCAAGTGCCCTTACGGGCAAACCGCCACTGCTTAATAGTATCCGTAAAAATATAGCGGTTAGTGAATTGACGTTGGGGGTCACCATTTTCAGGTAACCGCGTCCCTAATTTAACCGATTTTTCAGGAATGTCAAGCAGAGCGGTTAGTTTTGGACCGAGTAACCCATATTTCGGTTAATAACGGACCATACCCTTGGACTCTTGTTGGGACAAACTTAATAAATGTCTAATCGAGTTGGGCGATATTTCACTACTGTTAAATAATTATTTTAGTCTTGGTAAATTGACATTCTTTACGTTTTTTTTTTTTTATCAATTTCAAAAAGATTTTTCTATAAAAATATTACCGAATATTTAATTTTTAATGATATGCGGAATGGACTTCATTTATTTGAATTTTATTAATGATAGTAACGATTGAGAGTTGATTGAAACGCCTTCGTCCAACTCTACTTTTTTCTGAATTGGCGTTTCTATATTAAATTTAGAGATTTACATGTAGGTAAATGTTTAAAAATATTTTTAAATATGGATGTTAATGTATTTTGCCAGATAAAAATTTCCATTTTGAAGTTTTAGCTCAAAAGAATAATGGTAATAATTATTATAATTTTTACCAGTTCCAACAGTCTATATTGAAAGTTTCCTTGTTTTCAATCCTGACTTTTCTACCTCACTTGATATTTACGTATTTATATGTAAACTTTTTTTAAATTTTTTTTAGATTCCTAGCAATACATCTCTCATTGGTCTAGCAGAGGGTCTTGCAGAGGCATGGTCAATATATAACAACCCAAATGCTTGCATACTTTTTGTTGTAGAAAAAACTGTTTATAATATAGCTGACCAACGTTTTATTGAATTTGAAATAAACAGGTTATTTCCTAAGATTAAAATTATTAGAAGAATGTTTAGTTATATATGTGAACAAGGATCTCTTAATGACAAAAGAGAGTTAATTATGTAAGTTATTTTGTCATTATTATTTCTAAAAAAATGTTTTAAATTAATTAATTTTTGTCTTCTATATTTTTTTTCGTAAGAAAAATTTAGTATGGTTAAAAATTTGTATTAGGCCCTTCTCGACCATTCACTGTTAAGTTCTAATCAACAATGCTGTGGCTGTGGCGCTGCGGAACCGTTACAAACCCTGCATAGAGTACACATAAAAAAAAACAGTTCATAATGCGATTTAAATTTAAATTTGGTTTAAGGTAGTTCACTCGTAAAACGGCTTTTCTTAAGAATTCAATAAAATTGAAATATAAGGTTAATGAAAGTGTCTTTTATGTAACTAAAAAAAAATTAAATTTTTGACCGTCTGTGAAACGAGATATTAGCAATCAAAATGTACATAATTAACACTCTTGAAGTCTCTCATGTACACAAGTAATGCATTTATTTCAAGATATCTCGAAAACGGTTCTTACCATATTTTTTAAAAACTAATGTAATGTAAATCAAGAAGTTATAAAATTTTCTAAAGAAACGCTGAATTTTTTGACCGTCTTAGTAAAAAATATAGATTTTTAAAATAAAAATATTTTTAAAGCAATCGACGCGTAGTTGCGTAAAATTATTACAACTTCGCAACATTGTATATGCTGCAATCAACGCGTTGTACCAAAATAACACTCGATCAGCTAAGAGGTTGTTATAACCTCGCGACGTTTTCTTGAAAAATTAATTCGTCCACTGTCTTTGAGAACTGGAATCAGCGGTTCTGTTTGAACCAAAACAAACCCTTAAAATTAATAGGAGGAAGTCACAAATTTCTATAGCAAACCATTCATATATTTATGAGGTTGCCGGATGGATTTGATTAAAATTCTAACATATCTATATATAAGCTTACATGTGTTTTGTACAGTCTCTTACAAAAATAAAATTGATTAGCATTGATAATCTCGAACTATTGATATTCACCATTAAACGATATTTTTATGTACGACTGTCGCGAGTGAACTACCTTAATTTGCAATAATTGCTAAGGTGCTCATCGAAAAGAGTGATATACTGATTTTAAGATTGTATTTTTGTTTTGTTTTTTAGAGATAATAATATTGTTGCTGTGACTTATTTCCGAGATGGATATGCGCCGAGTAATTTTCCAACAGAAAAAGAATGGGCTGCTAGGCTTTTGATTGAAAGGTGTGTTCCTATTATTTTACAATAAAAAACAAACAATTTTCATTAGGTAATTTGAAATAATTGTATTATATATTGTAAGAAATCTATCATTGATTATTTAACACTATCAACTGATGACAATACTCTTTTTTTTTTTTTCAAACACACGACAATTAAAGCAAACTGTATATGAAAACACTGCACCTGGTAGTGTTTTCAGATACAGTTGTAGGATTTGAAAAAAATCAATTCATTACCAGAGTAACATATCAATGATTTATTCGAAAATTCAAAAATGTGACGAAAAGTGGACAAACATCGTTTTGGTTGTTCAAATATTAATTAATTGTATTTAAAAGTTCTGTTTATATTATTAAATAATCTTTCCAAATTCCACACAAGGGGAGATTTTTTTTGAGAACATTTTGTTGTTTCCTTACAAATTGTGCAAATTTCCAAGTTCTCGATAAATTTTCATCTCTTGCAGTAATGCCCTTGATAATTTGTTTTCTTTTTTTTTAGATCTGCTTCGATTAAGTGTCCGGATATCAAGTACCATTTAATTGGACAGAAAAAAGTTCAACAAGAACTTACTAAATCGGGTGTTTTGGAAAAATTCTTAACCGAAACAAAGAAAATAGAGGCGGTTAGAGAAGTATTCATGGGTATATATGGTCTCGAATTTGATGAACATGGTGATAGAGCTGTACAAATGGCATTGGAGAAACCAGAAAAGTATGTTTGCTTTGTAGTCGAAGCTTTAAAGCAAAAAAGTTCGGAATTTTTTAGACTAAGACGGATCGGAATGCGATTTTTTTCCTATTCCTGATGGTTTTTAAGATATTCCTAGCGAAAACCAAAAATGTTTTTTCACTTTGCGTATTTTGACAACCTTCACTTTTAATGACAAACCCTTAACGAAAAAAGTTGTAGAATAATAAATTTCCCTTAAAATTAATTTTTGTCATTGTTCTACCTGAATTGGTTCGAAATTATAGCGATTTGATAGTTTCGGGTTAAGTTTGAAGTTTTAAAAAAATTGCGCTTTCTTATCAAGAGTCATATCGTTTTTATATATGGTTTATTACCATTTTGAATACATAGTAATGATATCAAACATTTATGGAAATTTCATTAATTTAAAATTAACATATTTAATAAAAAAATTAAAAATTGACAATTGTTAATTTGTGTCTTTATAATGAACAGTAATGCAATGAGATGTTATAATAATAAAAATAAAGTCTCAGCTACTGCATATGATGGATGGAGTAAATATTGGTTTTAACTTTTCATCATAATAGGTAATGACATAAAATCGTCTGATTAAGCGCACGTCGAAATAATCTGCTTCATACTTCTGTGCACGTGGGATTATTCAGCCCCACGTTTTCAATTATGACTGACGTTCCTGTCACTTAGTATATATTTATTTACTATAACATATCACCTAACAATTTTAACATTGTACCGGAAATGTGTTGTTATTATAGCGCGTTTATTATCATGACAAAACACTTCTACATTATTTCTATTTTTTAACTGGATATTATTCGATATTTTTAATAATTTTCTAGAAATATCTCATTTTTGACTAATTTTAATTTAGTTCCTTTTTGAACTAAGGTGTAGCGAATGAATAACTTATTATTATTTTTTTTTCAATTCCGCTTATAATAATTCCTCCTTTCGATTTTTTACGGCCGGTTCTCGGTTTCTAAAAAAGCTTTATCAATCGCTTTGATTTACCAAATTTTTGTAACAAAAGGTACCTCATTAAGCCAGGATTCGTCTAACTGGAAGATTATTATTCCGTCTTTTCGTAATGTTCATATTTCCTCCATTAAATAACGTATAGCTTGTAAATCGTCTTTCCTCAAATTATTGTCATATTGGCACATTTTGAACGAAACTGCGAACGAAGTCTGATGTCCGTGAACAAGAGCATAATGCACGTTTAGAACAACTACTTTAAATTTTTTTCTTTTTTTCATGCACTAAACTATTTTAGATTACTACTTGCGGTTCTGTTCTGAGAAGTTTACAAACCAACACACAGTTCACTATTATATATCTTCTTACTCTTAATATCTGTTACATTTAATGTTTCAGGTATGAATACCTACATTTATTTATTGAATGTATTTCTTGAAAATTCGGATTAAATGGGTTGTTTATTTGTATTATGAACTCATAATTTCTTATCTGACAGAGAAAGTTTTGAAATACAAAATGTTATCTGATATTCTTATTTTTTTTTTTTTTTGTAAGCAACTGAAGGTTTATGGTTTATAAGGATAAGGATTTATGATATCTTTAATATTCAGACCCGAATTTATGCCAAACTAGTGAAGTATATCACACGAACATTTCACATTAAATTAAAAAAAATACAAGTATACGAAAGATATCATAACATTCCAAAAATGTATTTTAACCATTTTGTTATTTTTAGTTTTGTTCTCAAACCTCAACGAGAAGGTGGTGGTTATAATATTTATGATAATGACATTAAGGAACTTATGCTCAAAATACAAAATACAAAAGAACGATTGTCTTATGTTCTCATGGAAAGGATTTTTCCGCCTACTTCTACTGGTTACATGATCGTTCCAGGTGCATCTAATCCTCCATCTTTAGTTGATCTAGTTTCAGAACTGGGTATCTACGGAATTCTCATAAGGTATGTAAACTAACAAGTATGGAATGATCTACAAAAACTTGTTAGAAAGTTGCCCTTGGAAAATTTCACGTATGTCTGAGCGTACAATTCTTTTTCTTGTATTTAATTGAGAACCGTGCATATTTATCACGAACATGACTCGTATATCTATCTTTGTCGATCAGTGTCTACTTTAGCAACATTTTTTTGTAGATTACTCTATATATTTAATTATTAGTTTTATGGATTGATCCACAAAAATGTTTATACAATATACCATATAAAAAACAAGAGCGTACAATTCTGATTTTTTTAAATGACAATTTGGATATAATTCAGAGGCCTGCAAACTTATCACGAACAAGACTTGTGTTTTTATCGTGTCTTTATCAGTCATGACCTACTTTACAAACATTTTTTGTGAATCACTTCTAATATAGGGTAAACACTAAGTTGATACTTTTTTTAGCTGGTTATAGAAATCATTAAAATAAACTTGCATTAACTTATACCAAAATGTTTTCAATACGGTCCTGTCTAACTTAAATAATGGGTAGAACTTTCGTCGATAAATATTCATCACATTTATGCCGTTGTGGTAAGAACCATTAACAAAACTTAACTCTGATGGGGAATCTTCAAGTTGTTGTTCTTGAACACGTTGAACGTGAAAGGGATACAATTGATTTTCCCAGAATGTTGTCTAAAAGCACTTCACTTTCAGTTCTGAAAATTACTAGGCACTCATTGGGAGCGGAATAACTTTTCTTGGGGGGGGGGGTTGAGTCCCCTTAAAAAATGGGTGTTTATGCATATTTCAAAAATAAAACATGAATTACGTAGAAGCATGCCATTCGTTTCCGCCACCAATGTAGGTACTTCAGATAAACACACAACGGAAATTATTCAGACCCGACTGAATTACAATAACCAGTACACAGTGAATTGTGATTAATCATAAGAAAAACCGAAAAAATGGATTAAGAAAATAAACATATTTAATAAGTAGCTTAACTTTTAATACACAAGACCAGGTCCTGATTTGGAATTTTTAAATACTGTATCTTTCTTATTTTTGAGTTTTGAAAAATTTATTAAAAAAAGATGTTTATTTTAACGACTTCTATATTAAAAAAAAGTATCAACCTAGGATTAACCCTGTATATACGTGATGATTATTTTTTAAAACTAACACTTATTGCTTCTAAAGGACGAAATCATCATGTCGCACATTTTCCATTTGAAAGGTCGGTCATATAAATTTGTGTAGGTGCAAAGAAAATGAGAGCCAATTTTAAAAATGAAAGTTTGCGTCAAATTTTTAGGTGTTCATTTTATTTTTAATACTACCTACTTATACCTGAAATATACAGGGTGTAACAAAAAGATGTACAGTCAATTTAATCACAGTTTCTGGGGTCGAAAACGGCTTAATATATTTTAAGAAAGTGTACATGGGATATTAGTATACAGTGACTTCTAAAATGGAGTTAGTGCCGTTTAAAATTGTTTTAATTCTATAGGGTTTTAGGAGGGTTCTGCACCCCTTTGACTCCGTACTTTTGTGGCAAGAAAATTAAGTTAAAAGTAGAAGTTTGATAAAAAATTGTAACCCATTTTGTAATTAAATAATTCTTGTATTATGTTTCAAATAATGTTTAAAATTTCACATTTTAAGCATTTTTTGTTTTTTAATTATTATTTAATTAGCTATCTTGTTTTAATCAAGTAAAAAACGGTATCATCAGAAGCTACATAGCTGATGATATTTTCATAGACGAAACGTAGTAAAATGGTAAAGTGTAACATATCGTTGTATTTAGCTATACAAAAGCTATAACAAATTACAGTTAAAAATTCAGGTCCGTATTTAAAAAAAAAAGTTGAAGATGGCCCTGGAAATACGAAACGTCGTAATAAAAATTTTGACATGGCAGATTATAGGGAACTTGATTTATAACAAAAACTTCGTATATTTTTTTTGTATCTTTTATAATAACAACGCACGACTTAAAAAACGAAAATGAGGTTTTTCGGATTTTATCGAATATCTCCGGAACCAGTCAGAAAATCTGGAACTTCTATGGACCATTGTATTATCCGTCAAAATACGAAACTTTTTCCCCATTTAACCGACAATGTATATCTTACAGTTTACGAGATCTCTGTATACGCAAATTAAATCCGGTCCTCCCTGTATACGGATACCTTATAAGTTCAAATAAAATCCATCCGGCAACGTCGCAAATATATGAATGGTGAGCTATAGAAATTTATGACTTCCTCATACTAATTTTAAGGGTTTGTTTTGGTTCAAACAGAAGCGCTGATTCCAGTTCTCAAATACAGTGGACGAATTAATTTTTCAAGAACACGTCGCGAAGTTATAACAACCTCTTAGCTGATAAAATGTATTCACATACCGCGCGTTAAGTGTAGCGATTACAATGTTGCCAAGTTGTATTAATTTTACGCAACTGCGCGTCGACTGCTTTAGAAATATTTTTATTTTTACCAAGACGGTCAAAAAATTCATCGTTATTTAGAAAATTTTATAACTTCTTGATATACATTACATTAGTTTTTAAAAAATATAGTAAGGACCGTTTTCGAGATATCTTGAAATAAATGCATTGCTTGTGTACATATAAGGTTTCAAGAGTATTAATTATGCACATTTTGATTGTTAATATCTTGTTTCACAGACGGTCAAAAATTTATTTTTTTTTAGTTACGTAAAACCTTATATTTCAATTTTATTGAATTCTTGAAAAGAGCTGTTGTACTAGTATCTTTTAAAATAATCAATTAGTATAATTTGGTTTTTTAATTTTTTTTTCTTTTCTTTTTAGTGATAACGAGAAAATTATTGTGAATAAACAGGTAGGCCACATGCTTAGGAGTAAGGCATCAACTTCAAATGAGGGAGGAGTTTTGGCAGGAGCTGGAGCTCTAGATTGTCCTTATTTATTTGATTAATATTTGCTGATTTTATATTTTCACCAATATTTCACAACTGTGATAAGTTAAAGAAGGCATTTAAAAAAAAATACCGAAATGTTTATTTGTATTCAATTTTTTGTAAATTAAATGTTAAATTGAATTTTTACTTTTTTTGTTGGATATATTTTATATCATACAGTATATTTTTATTGTCAATCTTAAGGTAGATTTGTAAACTTAAATTCGGTGGCCGTTACCGTTTGTTCGTCGTTGAACTTAAATTTTGTTATGTTTGAATGTGCAACAGCGAACGGTGAGTGCAACAGAGACTATAAGTGCGCATATGTGAAAGTAGCTTTTTAACTTAGAACGAGAAGTTTATAAATCGGCCTTTAGTTTTGACTATTTTCACAGGTCAGGAATACATTTTTTTAATAGTCTATATTGATATAGAAATTCCTGACGTCATCAAATTTATTATCTAAATTAAATGATACTGGGGTGGTGAAGTGTCTTGAAATTAAAATTTCAGTTAAAAATCAAAATGTTGGGGTTTTTGGTTGATTTGGAAGAGAATTGTCAATAAAAAAATAGAGATTGTCAAAAAGCTTTTTGGGAGATATATTTTGAATTTATTTTGGAAAAGAGAAAATAAACGAGAATATATAAAAAGGTAAAAAGAGATTTTATTGCAAAGTTTAGAGAACAGTGAGAGGAATCGAGGCAGACAGAGGAAACCAGCAGTCCAAAAAAGTAGACAGTGAGCAGAGGAGACAAGGAGTTAAATATAAAAGAAAGGTAGTGAGAAGTTTTATTTCAATTTAAGAGGAAAGTGTAGCAGATAGCAGACGTAGGAGGTCGGAGTACAGAGGAGGAGCAGGAGAATTAGGAGAAACAGGAGAAGCAAAAGAAATAGAAAAAGCAGGGCCCCTAAGAAGAAACATTCAATTTTTTTTTAAGTTTATTATAATTTAGTTTTTAATTTTATATTGTAAATTTTTAGAGCCGAACCACCCCCTTTTAAGAGTCTGGGCAAATTTATTAAAAAAAATTATATACAGGGGGTTTCTATATCAATATATAAGAAACTTTATCATTGACAAAGTACTTTAGAAAAATTTTGAGACACGACATATTATTTTTCTACCTTTGAAATATTTTTTATATACTTAATATAAATAAAGAGATATCAATTGCTATCTTGTGTATCAAAATGCCTTGTAATTCGGCTCGCTATTCCAATATGTACTACATACCGATTCGAGACTATTAGTAGTTACATCATGAAATGTATGAACAGATCATATTTGAATCTTTTACATGTGAAATCCCCAATACTGTACACTGGATGACAATGATACTGGGGATATGTTAATTTTTTTATTTATCAAGCGATTTGGATCAAATTTGGGACAAAAATAACAAACATCACAGGGAAATGCAGACTTGTTACCTTGTTCAATTCATTGTAAAGTATATAAATATGGAAAGTTAAATGCAGACCCTCTGTTTTACAATGAATTGGACAAAGTATAATAGGAATGTATGATACATGAAATATTCAGGTGCAAGATAATGACCAAAATATCCATATCTCAACATAGTTTTATAACTGAGGAACTATCGTCAAAATTGAACCTTCCTAAAAATAAAATACACGCTTCAGTTTCTGGACTAGGTGGAAACAATTCCACTGTCACTGCAAGTGTTAAAGTAAATATTTCATCAAGAAGCACTGCATTCAACGCATCTTTATCTTGTTTAGTTATCAACAAAATCACATCCTATCTTCCTTGCATGACATTTAACAATTCTATTCTAGAAATACCAAAAAACCTAACTTTAGCTAATGCCAGTTTCAATATCAGCTCTCAAATCGATATGCTGATAGGGGCAGACATCTTTTGGGACATACTGTGTGTTGGCCAAATTAAACTCACTGACAGTGCTCCTATACTACAAAAAACCCTTTTCGGTTGGATTATTTCTGGCCCAATATACTTGCACAAAATTCAACATACTGGTATTTGTAACCTTGTTACAGATTCAAACTATAACTCTTTAAACTCTCTAGATAAAAAACTTGAAAAATTTTGGGATATAAACGAACTTCCCATTAAAAAACACTATTCACCTAGTGAACTCTAAGCTGAAGAACATTTCACAAAAAATATTACTCAAGATGCTTCCGGTCGTTTTATTGTAAAAATTCCTTTGAAGGAACCGACCACCAAACTTGGTGATTCCCGATCACCAGCTGAAAAAAGATTCTACTCTTTAGAAAAAATCCTAATCTGAAAACTCAATATACTAACTTTATTCATGAATATACATCGCTAGGCCATATGTCGTTGATACTTGAGAACAAATCCGGTTTTTTCCTTCCTCATCACTGTGTCTTTAAACACCATAGTACAACCACAAAATTTCGTGTGGTCTTTGACGGATCCGCCAAGACCGCCTTCATATTGGTTTCCTTTGAGAAAATTTGTATCTAATTCTACACTTTTTGCAAAAAATGAACATTCCTCAGAACTTCCAATAAATCTTGGGCATGATGAACCTGTCAAAACTCTCGGCCTTTTATGGCACCCTAATAAAGATATATTAAGCTATACAACAAATGCTCTTGCTCATGCAAATATAACTAAAAGATCTATCCTTAGCATAGTGTCGACCATTTTTGATCCACTTGGATTGTTACTTCCATTCATCGTAATTGTAAAATTAATAATTCAGAGACTTTGGCAACTACATATTACGTGGGACGAATCTATCCCACTTCATCTTCATTCTCTTTGGTCTGATTTCAAATTACAAATACCTCATCTAGCTGACTTATCTATTCTAAGGCATGTCATCTCTCCATCTTTCAAAACTATAGAATTACATAGCTTTGCCGATGCATCTGAGCATGAATATGGTGCTGCAATATATGTAAAGTCAATAAACCAAACAGGTGACATTAATTGCCGCCTTCTTTGTGCCAAAAATCGAGTACCTCCTTTAAAAACTATTACTGTTCCTAGATTGGAGCTGAGTGCGGCCTTACTATTAACAGAACTCATGGACAAAGTTAAGCTATCATTTAACGTACCCGTAAATAATATATTATACTATTTCTCAGATTCTACAATCACTATATCTTGGATAAAGGCTTCTCCACGTCTCTGGAAGGTCTTTGTAGCTAACAGCGCAGCTCAAATTCAATTATTGTCTAAACCAGAGCAGTGGTATCATATTCCTGGTTAAGAAAACCCTGCAGATTTATTAACACGAGGTATTTCAGTTACGGAACTATCAAACTCTAAGCTTTGGTGGCATGGTCCAACTAGTCTCTCCCTTTTAGAATGGCCTAAATCAAATGAAGTATTACTTTCTCCAATTGATTTACCAGAACTTAAATCAAAGGCAGTTTCACTGCCAGTCGTTATCTCTGAAGATTTTATAAATTTCCAGCATTAGAATATTCGCATATGTTATACGATTTACAAAAATGCCAAATCAAAAAATTCAATGATATATCATGACCTTACACCTGAAGATTTAAATCAGTCAATGAATGGTTTAGTTAAACAAGTCCAATCAGATTACTTCTGCACAGAAATCAGTGGTATTCGAAAAAATCAACCATCTCCGTTTTTAGATACAACTGGAACTCTCCATGTAGGAGGCAGACTTAAACGTTCAAGTTATGAATACTTTAAAAAACATCCTGCAATTTTACCAAAGTCACAAACTAACAACTTTAATAATTTCCTCTGAATACAATAAGGTTAATGCATGTTGGTCATCAGCAAACCTTGTTTTCTGTCAGAGAACGTTTCTGGCCTTTAAATGGCAGAAATTTAGTCAAAAAGCTCATACGTCAATGCGTCGTATGTTTTAGGCTTAATGCAAAACCAATTCAACCCTTGATGGGCGAACTCCCTCCAGAGAGCACCCCCTCCAGACCGTTCCTTTTTACTGGAGTGGATTATGCTGGTCCTTTTAACCTTAAAGACAGAGTCACTCGGAATTACAAACTTGTTAAGGCATATATATGTTTAGTTATATGCCTATCCAATATAAGGCACTGCATTTAGAATTAGTCGGTGACTTAACGAAAGTTACATTCCTTGCTGCACTCAAGCGTTTTTCTGCAAGACGTGGAAAACCGTCAATAATGTATTCTGATAATGGTACCAATTTCGTCGGCGCCAATAATCAACTAAAATTATTTTTTAAACAAGAAACTACTTATATTAATCAAAATTTATCTAGTCAAGGAATTTTGTGGAAATTTATCCTACCTAACTCCCCACACTTTGGTAGAATATGGGAAAGTGGTGTTAAATCCGTCAAACATCATCTTCGTAGAGTAATCGGTGAAACTAACTTAAACTTTGAAGAATTCATTAAAATATTGACTCAAATTGAATCAATCCTGAACTCTAGACCCTTATACCCCATGTCTCATGACCCTAATGATCCTTCTCCACTCACACCCGCACATTTCCTCATTGGAGACGCTCTAAGTGCTATTCCAGTACCAAGTTACCTCCAATTGCCTGATAACCGACCTCCCAAGTTTAAACAAATTCAACAAATGGTTCAAATGTTTTGGAAACGCTGGTCCAAGGACTATATTTTCCAATTGCAATCTCGGTATAAATGGAACAATCCCAATCACGAATCATTAAAACCCGGATTAGTAGTACTCATCAAAGACGATGATCTGCCACCTTTGAAATGGCTACTTGGACGAGTCTCAGAAGTTTTCCCTGGTGAAGACGGAGTGGCAAGAACTGCTACAATAAAAACCAAAAATGGTACCTATCAACGACCTGCTACAAAGTTATGCATACTAACGAGTCAATTTAAAGCCCTACGAGCTTTCAAGGAGGGCGATATGTTTAATCACAAATACCTATCTTCACATATTTGGACCAGATCTGGCAACGCCGACAACTATTGGCAGCTTGATGTGCGCATATAGACCTTTTCATCACAATTTTTTTTTGTGCGCAGGCGTCAGTTTCAGTCATCTTTTTCGTACTGTTTTTGTAAACAAGCATGTTAAAATGCCCACGTGAAAAAAATTATAATCGATAAATAATAATTAAAGTATATTCATTTAAAAATAGGAAGAAAAGGCAAAATAATAAGTTTAGTGTCTTAGGGTGAGATTACAGAACGTCTGCAACTTTGCAGATCTGCAAATATGGCGGACTTACACATGCAAGTATCCAAAAAATATCTGCAAATTCGCAATATTTATTACCTCTAACAACAAGAAATCCAAACCCACCCTTAAGAAGGTTAGAACATCCTACAACCATGAAGTCTTCTGTTTCTTTTGATTGAATACAGTTCATGGTGTCAGATTATTGAGTTTTTAAACATAGTAATGGATTTGGGGTTAGTGTTGTTGCGGGTAATAAACCACAATAAATATTGCTAATTTGCAGATCTTTTTTGGAATACGAAAACTTGATACATGCATATGTAAGTCCGCCATATTTGCAGATCTGCAAAGTTGCCGCCATATTTGCAGACGTTCTGTAATCTCACCCTTAATTGAAAAATACATTTTTGTAATCAATTATAATTGTTGTCTGTACGGAAAGGAACAACGAAACGGTGTCGTTATATGGAGTATGTAAAAGTGACACACGGTATAAATCATTCAAAGGTAATACATATTATTTTATAAATTTTTCAAAGCCTTGGCTACAATATCGTAAAAAATTATTAAATTGTCAGTTGTCAGGCAAAATCCATATTAAAACATGTTCAAAATGTGCATTAGGTGTGAAAAAAATGTGGTCGAAGTGACAACGGTTTTCGATGGATTGAAGATATTATTACTAAAGATACTTATATTTGTTCACTACATTTTCATGGAGAAAGTGGTCCAACAGAAGAAAATTCTTTTCTGGTTTTAAACAATATTTTTTTAATGATGGAAAGGTCTATATTCATCATGTAATGAGCGCAAGCGCAGCCACCATGTTGAAATAGTGGTAATTCAAAAGTTTCGTACTGTTTTGATCGACAATGGCTGGGAAAGCAATATTATCTCTACAGAAAAATTAATCATTAGAAAAAATCGTTGATGGTGATTAACTTTTTTATAACTCTATGAAAGCGCATAGTTGTGAGCAGTCGAAAAGGTGGTGAAGTACCTTGGACGTTTGCTGCAAAGGAAAAAAGTGGG